CAACTGCCGCCACATCCCCCGCCGCCAACCCCCGCACACGCACCCCCGCGAGCCATGCAAGCAGCCGCACTGCCCGGCCCGCAGCGTCCCCCCCCCTCCCCCCCGCGTTTCCTTCCGGCCGCCGCCACATACCGCGCGTCGCCGCCATGGACGACTGGAATGACTTCGGGCCGCCGGAAGCCTCGCGACCGCCGCTTCCACCCTCGTCGCGCGCGCCGCTCCCCTTGCCGTCGTCGTCGTACCCGCGCTCGGACAGCACGCCGTCCACCTTCGGCGACTCGGCCTCCGACTCCTCGGTCGCCCTCATCGGCTCGCGCTCGTCCTCGTCCTCCACCGCGTCCTCCGGCTCGTCCTACATCCCGCCGCCCACGGATTCCGCCACCGACCCCTCCCACACGGACCCCACCGACCACTCCTCCTTCCTCTCCTCCATCCCCTTCCTAGGCACCGCCGCCGCCCGCTCGAGGAAGGCCGACAGGCAGGCCGCCGTTGCCGCCGCCGCCGCCCTTGCCGACGGCAGATTGGCCGCCACACCCGCCCTCGTCGTCCCGTTGGACAGGTCCGCACACGCCGACAGAGTCGTCGCCCTCGACCACATGGATCATGTTAGCGCCGCATCGGACAGCGATGGCGTCGAGCCCGCCAGCCGGAGGCTCCCGCCTTCGGCTGCTAATAGGCGCGACCTTGACCCAGAGGATGAAAGCTTTCCCAGACTTACGCCCCCGAGGCGGAGAGGCGCTTTGGATGACGTCCCACCCGAATTTGAGCTCAATATACAGGGCTTCCGCTACCAGAACACCACACCCCCAGCCAGTTTCGGCTCAGAGATGGATGACCCCCACTCCTCCGTCATGGCAAGCTCATTGCTCAGGCGCGTTGACAAGAGCTACACCAAGCTCGAAGTCATTACTGCCAAAGAAATTCGCAATATGCTCCTCATTTTCAACATCTTCGTCCTCATCGGTCTCGTCTGGACCATTACCACTATAGCCCTGAGCCATAGCAGGTGGGAGCAAAAAAACTCAGTCCCCATACCCGAGGCTTTGCTTTATCCTGAACAAATACAGAATCTATCACAGAATGCGACATTCCCCCTCAATGACGCGGCTAAGGCTGCAGCGGCGGAGGCGGCTGCGGCTGCAGCGGCGGAGGCGGCTGCAGAGGCGGAGGCGAATGCCCGTATTCCGCCCAGATTGCAGCCGCCTTCTGTTCGCGAAAGCGGATCGTTCAAACCCGCGGACTCCGCCTTTCCGGAAGGTATGGGTAAGCCTTTTCGCGAAGTCATGGCCGCTCAAGGTTTGTACATTTCTCGGCGTCGTGGCCTTTCGAGGGGGCCAGTTGTACCGCTCACGAAAGACACTGGCATTGTGCTTGGACGCAATGGCCACCCAAACCGCCCGTGTTCGAACTGTTTGGCAGTCATCGACGCATCGGGTCGGCAGTGGAGAAATGACACATCTTTGCCGCATTTGCGGAGTGATCAAGTGACAGACAGCGGCGGAGAAGAGCCAAGATACGTGCGGGTATTTTTCGTGGATATGTTCGTGGCCATTGCCCCCTATAGGTTTAAGATGATCTCTCATGTGATGAGCTGCACCCTGAGCGTCTTCTTCTACGTCCTAGGCATTCTGTTTGCAGTCCGTTTGTGTCGACAAGGCCGAAGGAGCACCTCTCACGAGCAAATATGGGTTCTAATTCTCATTTTTATTACATCATTCTATTTCAACGTATACGAGAGTGTGATCCGCATCCTGGAGGAGACTGACCCGAACCGGAATGAAGATAAGTTTGACAAATGGGTATATAGACTCGAAGAGGTCTTAACTGGGAGTCGCGACTTGGCATTCACAGTCTTCACTTTCTTCTACCTTTGGGCGAGTCTACACTCCTATCGGATTCTTGATCCCACAAAGCCCCTAGCATTCAAGACGTTTTATTTGCCTAAGCTCCTGGTTCTCGTGCCTTATGTGATCTTCAGGTTAGTATGCCTATTTGTCTTGAGCATGCATTTGTCAGAAGTTCCGGTGATGTCGGCACCTGCATTGCTATTCACGTTCGGGGAGTTTAACATGTGGCGCTATTTGAAAGCAGAGCTTTTATACTGCATCGCATCCTCAGTCATCGAGCTGATGATTGTAGGACTAATCGTGTACGAAGCACTGAAGTCTTTGCGTATTTTGCGGAAGGCGCCCTACATGAAGCACAGAACCAAACGTGTGGGCTTCCGTTTTTTCATATACCTCAACTTCCTCTTTTACCCATCGTTTATTTTCCTTCAAGCTCTGACCATGTTTGCCCGCGACAAGGGTGAAAACATCCTCCTGATTATTCCTGGAGTTAACATGCCTATGGCCGATCCCATATGGTACTACACCATGGGTCCCGCGGTACTGGTGGTTGGCTATGTTGTAGTGACTGCCCATGTCCACTTACCCGCAACCTCTGTCGGTGCAATCAAAGGTTGGTTCAAGAGTTCGGCACTAGCTGAATCAGGATCGCGATGGTCCTTCGGTTCGACGACATCGAGGTCGACGCACGCGAATTACTGTGTTGACAGTACACCCACCCCGTTCAGCGGCAGCTCGACATGGGTCCATGACGAGAACACACCACGCTCAGTTGTCGATAACGACAATGAAATGGATCACCAGATCGTCGAACCTTTCACCTACAGGATGAAGGAATCACCACATTCGTTGGAGCTAAAAGCAAACTGCTTCACGATGCAAACTCACGTGATCCTTTTCAATTTTGCGTGGTACGTGTACTACTACGGGACACCGAAATTGAACAATTGGAAAACGAAAGAGAATCCGCTGCCGTTCGAATACAAAATTGCCGCGCATATCAAATGTGATTCGACGGACACGCAAGTACTTGTGCTGGATTGCTTCGATCGCATCATTGTAGCATTCAAGGGATCAACATCGAAGCGCAACATGAGAACATCACTTCAAATGAATTATGAAAACGTGCATTCTGTGATCCGAACAAATATCCGTGGGGAAGATGAGACAGGGAGATTGAAGAGAATGTTTGGAAGAAGTTACACGAATGGGAAAGTTCATAGAGGTTTTGCCATTGCGTACAGGAGCGTGGCCGGTGAAGTAATGGAGAAAGTAAGAGCGCTTCGGGGTGAGAAGAGAAGACCAGTTTTCTTAACGGGACACAGTCTCGGAGGGGCTTTGGCGACAATCTGTAGTATGGACGTCTGGGTGAAGCTTGAATTGAGTCGACGAGAAATATTTGTTTCGACGTTTGGATCTCCGCGAGTGGGTAACGCCGATTTTGCAGATATATACGACAAAGTCGTACCACTTCATTGGCGAATCGTTGTAGATCCGGACATGGTTGCCAAGTTGCCTAAAGGTGGGTACAAACACGTCGGCAAGAAAGCGGTGCTGACGCCTCACGGAGACATGATCATTGATCCCAATTATCTAGATAGGAGGCCCTGGAGTGGAGAGACCGCAGGATTTGCATATCACCGCAAGGCAAGCTACCTACTAGCGATGCGAGCATGGTGTGTTCGGAATCACGGAATGGTGTACACGCCTGTGTTTTGGCCGTTCCCATTAAGAAAGGAAGATCACAAACGGTTTGAGAGTGCATTCACAGATGAAGGGGAGATTGTAAAGGGCCACTCAAACAGGATTGCATCGAAGATCATTCACATGGATGCGATGGTTGACGCGCTAGGACACGGAGACCAGGCGTTGGCAAACATGGCAGTGGTAGAGAAGTGGGCCAGGCTCACGAGAAGAATATTATTGAACGCGAGATTGACGGAAAACACGTCATTTGAATTTCAGTAGAAGCGGTGAGAAGGTGAGTAAGGAATCTCGACAACTGAACATAGATGTGAATAGAGAATATCTTTGGTATGAGTAGGGAGTAGTAGCTTGGAAGTTACGGAGCAGTAGAGGGGTGGAGAGGGATGGAGAGGTTGTAAACTGAGAAGTAATGATATCAAATGTTTTTACATTTCATTTGCCTGAGAAGAATCCTAGAACCTGGTATCTATCGGACCGTTAATCCTCGAGGACAAAAGTTATTTTATTTTTTCTAGACAACGCAACTCGCGATCTCACTTAAGGTTTTTTTGAAACCAGAAGCCCATCACCACTGGTAAAGCATTTGCTTGTCGATTCTATTGAAAACCGACTCGTTGATGCATATAAAGGTGTCAAAAGGAAAAAAATCAACTTACAGTAAGCAATTTTCTTAAAGCTAATTTAAAATAATGCCAGTAGCATAGAACACATTGCGTTGAGGGCTTTCTATTCGGTTGTAACTTTAGAAAGAAATGGTAAAACAAGTCAATCTACCAAAGAAAAATGAAACCGTGGCCATCAAAGTTGAAAAGAAATAAAATTCGCCTATCTTTATGTTATGATATAACGTTTGGTCGGATGGACACTAGAGAAAGGGGAGGCGTTTGGTGAGGGGAGAGGGGAATGAAAATAGTGGGGCTTGCGGAGAGTGCAGGAGATGGATTTTAGATACTTGCACACATATTATTACGTGCACACATACCCTTCGTATTATGGTTCGATATGGTGCGGGAGGAGTGATGTCACTCAACATCAAAATGTCCACACCCAACATCTCTCTTGTTGACAAGAGAGATTTTGGGTGTGGACATTTTTATTTGCATGGGAGGGCAGGGATGGTATCATAAAATTAAATGATTTTTATGTAATTTGCAGAAACGCAAACGGACTAAAGATTTCTCAATTCTTCTTCAAATTTGGCGTTATTTCACACACTCTCCGGTAGACAGTAAGTGCCCACACGTTGCCAAACCTGCCCTAAAAAAAAATTACTTCTCTCGCCGCGGGCCTTGCTGTACGCTGGACCCCGTTGCGGCCTCCGTTCCCATCCTCTTCTTGTTTACCCACCACCGCCCCATCCCCCTGAACCTGTACCTGCACAACACAGCGTCTCGAGGTCGCACATCTTGTTGCTACCCAACTCCCCAACAACACCATCCCGCCTCGCCACCGTCTCCGCCACGTCCCCTCGCGCCATTTCTCGCCGCCCTTCCCGTGCCGCTTCTTCACGGAATCAATTTCCACCATCCGCCATCTGCTCAACCGACCAAAACACTCTCTTCGTCTCTTGCTCTCGTCCAACGCACCACGCAAGCCTACTCGACGTCTGTACTGAATCACGGCGTCGTAACTATCGCCCACAGCGCTTTTCCGTGAAACGCCCGCCTCATCGCAGGGATGGCGATGCTGCGTCATGGGCCTCCTGTCTTCCACAGCGGCTGGCTGGATAAGGAAGGAAACAACGGTGCACGCTGGGAACGTTTTATGCGCCTCAGTGGTACCGCCTTGTCAAATAGTCACTCTGAAGTCACTCAACCCTCATGGCAAATAAGCTTGCTGGAATGTCCCGTCGCAGTGGGTTCTAGGCCACTAGAGCTCACTATAAAGTTGAGAAAACGAACCCTCAGCTACTTTGCTCGCTCCGAGCAGGATTACATGGCGTGGAAAGCCGCTTTGAAGAATGCTCATGAGATGAGGATTGAACACTTTTACAAAATGGGCCAGGTACTTGGTGAGGGAGCTTTTGCACAAGTTCGCATCGGTGAAGACTCCACTACAAAAGAACAGTTTGCAATCAAGATTATAAACAAGGAGTCGTACGACGTTCGCGAAATGCAGTTTATCATGCGGGAAGTCAAGATTATGATGAGGATTGCGCATGACAACATTGTCAACACCTTTGACATTTTTGATTCAATGAAATATTTGCACCTCGTTATCGAGTATATGCAGGGCGGCGAGCTTTTCGACATCATCGCCGATCAGGGCCATTTATCAGAACAGCGCGCTTCCCAGATTATCCGCCAAATCATCAAAGGTGTCGAATATTTACACGACGTTGGCGTCGTCCATTGCGATATCAAACCAGAAAACATTCTTTGCAAGAGCAAAACATGGCCTTTACAAGTCAAACTATGCGATTTTGGTTTGGCAAACTTTTACGACAAGTATAGCACATCTTCCATGACTGCCATGATTGGAACTCCTGGTTATGTTGCGCCAGAAGTCGTCCAACGAAAACCTTATGGGCCACCAGTTGACATGTGGGCCTGTGGTGTTGTGCTTTACGTCATGCTCAGTGGACGAATGCCTTTCTACGGAAAAGATGACATTGCTTGCCTGCGAATGACAGCGACCGGTGAATTTTCGTTTCCAGATCGCGAGTGGAAGGACATCAGTGAGGATGCAAAATCACTCGTACGTGCTCTATTGCAGATAAGCCCAGAAAAGCGATTGACGGCCTGTGCTGCATTGCAACACAGGTGGCTAGTGACACCACAGAACCTCAGTGACAAGCTGTTGGAGAATGACCTCACCCATATTCATTCTAAGACTCGAAAGAAATTCAGAAAGGCTATTTACACAATACAGTCGATGAACCTCATGCGGGACTTGACAAAGAACGTGTCGCAGAGTAAGACAAACGAAAGCCCAGGCAGGTCCGGCTCGACAAACGTGGATATGGACGAGGGCTAAATGGTCCAGTCAATATTTGCATGTTGCATGTGTACTTCATTATCAACCACGTATCCTTGTGTGTATTTGTGTATCTTTTAAGCAAGTGCGTTGACGTTATGCTACACGTATGTGTCTGCACGTATGTGTCTGCGTGTGTGGGTACGTGTCGTCCTGGAAGTGATATAGTAAGAATGGTGCACCCACAACAAATATATCTGCTCAATCTTCCCACCTCTGGCCAGGGCCATGTTCAGTTTGTTTCTCTTCTTCATTGCTTTTCTTACTCTCGTTTCTGTTTTCGTATGCAGTTTCGGAGTTAACCCACGTAAATCTGCGCTCAAGGGGTTAGCCTCCCTCTGGCAGTTCAAAATTGACATGAAACCCATCACTGAGTATTGCCAATACAGAGATGATGCCGCTATTGTCTTCATTTCTCGCAAATCAAACTCAACTTTTGTTTTTCACAGCACTCCGTACGCTATCTTTTAAACGTTTCCAATCCCAATCGACTCTGGCCATCGAATCTTTCTTGGCGCCGCGAAAGTAACGATATATCACTAGATGTCTGTTGTCGACTGTAGCCTTGTTCTGAACTTTCTGGTCAGATGGATTGACGCAAGGACACCGATAGACAAAAATCGTAGGAGTGCTGTGCAAATCAGGTAGGCAATATCCCTCGAGAAGTACTAGGCTTGTCCATCGAAGGAGACGCAAGCTTGAGACAGTGGTTTCCGATGTTTCTGAAAAACAGGATTTTGGGTGCCCAATTCGACAAACCTGTCGTGGCCACTGCATAAAGCTATACGCATAGATGACTCTAAGAACACTTTTTAATGCCGTTGTGCGTAACGAATAGCCACATACAACTGCTGTCGCCGTTTCAGCACTGTACAGTCGGGTTGGGTAGTGGTAGCGGGCTACAGTAACCTCAATAGCTTCGTAGCTCCAGTGGAGCAAGTGGGCAGGCCCTCGCTTAAATTTACTGGAAAAAACGGCAATTTTCGGTGTCCAGGGATCAAAACTATGCAAGAGTGCAACGTGGAAAGCATGGCTGGTTCTCCTACAGCCCTACTCAGCGCCTCCGACTTCGTTCACTCCAACGGCAGCCGGCCTTTTCCGGGTTTTAACCTCTTCCTTGTTGCAACTCTCTCAGAACTTCAATACCGATTTCGCCATGTCTGATATGGAGGAAGATGAAGATTATGGATTTGAATACGAAACCGACGACGATGAGGAGCAGGACGTTGATATAGAGAATCAGGTAAGCGAACCAAATGAGTCTTTCAGCCGGCGAAGGACCAAGTAGGATTTTTTTTTTTTTCTTGGTCCGTACCAGTCAGGCATGCACAACGATTCTAACGCTTCTGACCGCTTTCTGCGGCGACTGCTATTAGTACTACAACTCGAAAGGCTTATTAGAAACCGACAATGACGCGGCTCTGGCGGGTTTCGAGGAGGTACTTCAAATGGAATCCGAGAAAGGCGAATGGGGCTTCAAGGCCTTAAAGCAGATTGTCAAGCTTAAATTTCGACTCGGTCAGTTTAAAGAAATGATAACACGCTACAAGGAAATGCTCACCTACATCCGTTCTGCTGTCACGAGAAACTACTCGGAAAAATGCATCAACTCCATCTTAGACTTCGTTTCTTCATCGAACCAGATGAATCTTCTCCAAGAGTTTTACGAAACAACTCTGGGTGCGCTTCAAGAAGCCAGGAACGAAAGGCTTTGGTTCAAAACCAACCTCAAGCTTGGAAAGCTTTGGTTTGACGTTGGAGAGTTCCCACTGCTGGCACGGATATTGAAGGAGCTCCACAAATCGTGTCAGCAGGCCGATGGAAGCGATGACCACAAAAAGGGCACACAACTGCTTGAGGTATACGCGCTCGAAATCCAAATGTACACAGCTACGAAGAACACCAAGCAACTGAAGCAACTCTACGAAAAGGCGCTCCAAGTCAAAAGTGCTATACCACATCCCAGAATCATGGGCGTCATCAGAGAATGCGGTGGTAAGATGCATATGGGTGCTCAAAATTTTAATGGTGCTCACTCCGATTTCTTCGAAGCCTTCAAGAACTATGACGAAGCCGGGAATGCTCGAAGGATTCAATGCCTTAAGTATCTCGTGCTCGCAAACATGCTTGCCATGAGCGATATCGATCCGTTTGACTCGCCTGAAGCAAAGCCATACATGAACAACAGAGAGATCTTATCAATGACAAACCTGCGACAGGCATACACAAACAAGGATGTGAAAGAATTTGAGAAGATCTTGAAGGAGAACACCGATTCCATAATGGGCGACACATTTATCCGCGAGCACATCGAAGAGCTTCTGAGCCGGTTCAGATCTCAAGTGCTCCTAAAATTAATCCAACCCTACACTAGAATTGGGATTCCCTACGCAGCGAAAGAACTCAACATAGAAATACAAGAACTCGAAGCCTTGCTAGGGTCTCTTATAATCGACGGGAGAATCGATGGCAAGATCGACCAGGTCAAAAACATCCTCATTCTGGACAGCGACCAAGCGGGATGCGGACTACCAAAGTACCAAGCTGTGAAGAACTGGAGCGACGAGTTGTATACACTACGGATAGGTATTGGTAGTAAGCTCATCTGAATGTGAGAAACATAGATGAAGTTGCGTCTCCAAAAGCCGCGGCCATGCAGAAATATCTCTGGAGATGCCATTAGAACCGGACGCAGGTACCAGTTTACCGAAGCAGCCCGTGCCCTCTTCGAGTGACGACCGTCGCACGACATTGGGCTATTCTCACTATCCCCTTTCCAGCCACTCTGAAGTGGGCCCGTCCTTGCAACTGCTCACATGCGTACATGGAGAAAGATGAAGCAACGGCAAGCGTTGATAAGGGATCAAGAAATTAGCAAAAACAAGATACAATGGCGAACGGGATTGCAGTTGACTAGGTTAGATCAGAAATTTACGAACTAGACATTTTGTTGAGAGTTTGTTGAGCCTGTTCCAACGGTCGAAGAAGAGGTTGCCGTTGCGTTCGCAAGATTTGCCAAGTTGTTGATTCTGCCAACAGTCATTGTGGCCATGACAGCCTTTCTAAACTTCCTGCGACTCGAATGAATGCCACTGAGATCATTATTGATGGGACTGGAGCTGAGGGCGGTAGGATCTTCAAGCCATTTGTGCTGTAAAGCGGCGTTCGCGGTGAGCCTCTTGTTGGGATCGGCTTGCAACAACCCACGCACCAGTGACTTGCCATCCGTACTAATTTTGGACCATTCTTGGGGAGGCATAGTATACTTTCCTGTGGAGATCATTCGAAGGCAAGCATTATCATCACGGCCATAAAAGGGCATCTTTCCACTTAGCATAATGTAGAGTAATACACCAACGGCCCACATATCGACTGGGGTTCCATACTTTTCCTTATTTACGACTTCAGGAGCGACATATCCCGGCGTACCAATCATGCTTGGTTGCTCCGACTTGATCTCGCCATCCTTTGAAAAATCAGCGAGGCCAAAGTCTGCGAGTTTGACTAAAAGCGGCCAGCTCTTAGAGACACAGAGGACGTTCTCCGGCTTGATATCGCGATGGACGATATCATGCATGTGTAGATATTGGATGCCTTTGATGACGTCCCGGGTGACCTGTGCGGCCTGTTGCTCTGAGAAGCTTCCCGCATCGGCGATGATATCGAAGAGCTCGCCGCCTTGCATGTACTCGAGAACGATGTGAAGGTGGCTAGGGGAATCAAAGATGTCGATGGTATTAACAATATGGGGATGGCTGACGCTCTTCATGATGTCCATCTCCCTGACAAGGTACTCCATCTCAGAGGGGTCGTAGCCATGTTTCTTAATGATCTTAATAGCGCACTTGTCGCCCTTCTCCTTATCGACAGCGAGCTTCACCTGCGCAAAGGCGCCCTCACCTAGGAGCTGGCCGAAGCGATAGAAGTCATCGACCCCGCTGGCGCGGGAGCTCTTGAGGGCTGTGAGCCAGAGTTGGAAGTCGTTGGTGTTGCTCGCAAAGAAGGAGATGCGTCGCTGCGGCAATTCGATGACGAGCTCGTTGGCGCGGTGGCCGGGCATGAAGGGGCAGTCGGCGACGCGGACTTGCCATGTAGGGGGCGAGTTCTCTGTGCGGTGGCTGGACAGCATGCCCGCGCGAAGGATGAGGTAGCGGCGGTAGCGGGAACGGAAGCGCTTGCCCTCCTTGTACAGCCAGCCCTGGATGTTCTGCGGCGTCCCGCGGCGAAGAGATCCAGACGACGTGCGGGTGCCGCCGGAGCTGGCGGGGGATGAGGCCGGTTCGCGCTGCATCGTGGATAGATCACGGAGGG